AAGAGTGAAAAATTTAAGGGGGTCTGAATACTTTCCGTACCCACTGTATATATATATATATATATATGATGTATGTATGTATGTTTGACAAGAGTTTATTTTCTCACTTTTGGTCCACCGAGCCAAATGTGTCCATAGTGTGTCCAAACACCCATATATAACTGGATCTGCCCACGGATATGTCCACCTACCTCTTACTTCCATTTCTTCCCCATGATCCGGTCACAAGTGTGATGTATGTGCTGAGTTTGCGTATGTATGTGTGTGTTTGTGTGTAGTTTTCCTGCCATTGTCAGTGGGTGTGTGTCAGGCTGCAGTGACAGAGCTCAAGGGCAAATGAGAGAAATGTGTCTCCGTCCGGCACACACATGAACACATAGTCACAACAACAACAACATCACGGACACACACATACAAAAAGGGAACCTGAGGTAATTCTGCCCCGATACGTATAAACTGAGTGACTAATACTCTGACTACATTTATTCAGGAAACATTAGCGTAAGTGCAATGGTTTAGAAACGGTATCCTTGCTTCGGGACAGGGTAAACGGCCAAAGCATTCAAAGTAGCTTGCAGGGTCTGGATTAGTAGATGCTTTTGTTTAAAGCGACTAGCAGCGCACTGTTTCAAGGACAAAATCCTCAAGAGCACAATGGCGATAATTTGTTTCTTGTTGGGCTCAATCTGCAACCTTCTGGTTACTATTTTCCACTTGGTGGGACTCCTGTGTGCTGTAGCCAGAGGGTTGCTGGTTTGAACCCACCAAGAAACAAGTTAGCCACAAAAACATTAGGAATCCATCTGGGAATATGTAATGTATGTCCAAAATCTGTCACATGAGAAGACTTGTGAGACACCTGCTTACTGTAATTCAATAAACGGATAACAAGACGTGGGCTAAAAATGAAGTGCTGTTAATGTGTTGTGTGATGTTCTTATCTAGAATGCTCTTTATTGCCTCTTGATACACTCTGGTGTTGTTCTGTTCTTCACGTTGTTATCGGGACGCTGCTGGCTTCAGATAAAAGCACAAAGATTGAATTAGTGCTAATCACTGATCTGCCTGAGATTCCTCTCAGACTTGGGGTCTCGCGGGAGCTCTGCGTATGCGTTGATTTTGTTACTTTTTACCTTGAGCACATCTTTCTCTCGCTTGTGTTTTTTCACCCCCCCAGTGCTGAGCCTTAGATCTTAATCTCTGGAGTGAGAGGGAGGCATGAGAAAAAGGTCCATGTCAAGGACTTTCTACTCTGATGAGAATGAGGAGAAGAAGAAGGGTTGTGCTGTGGAGCGCCAGTAGCCTTGAGGAAGTCAGTAATGGTAAGGCTCAGAGAAGCTGTCCTTCAAGTGCATGTTCGCCAGGGGCCCACGGGCAGGAAGAATCACAGCGAGCACACTGACCCAGTTAGAGAGCTACATGGAGGGATTGAGCGAAGCAGAAGTAGAGAGAAAAAAGAAAGAAAGAAAAAAAAGTGAGAGTGACAAGATCAGAGACTCTTCCTGCCAGAACATTCCAACAGATTGTGTCCAGATCATTCATTGTCTTCACATTACTTGGTTGACATCACTTGTGTCAAGACATAGAAGGATCATTCCCTTTCAGCCTCATTTTCACTCTTTCATAATCACTAGTTAAATCAAGAAAGAACTTGCTGGCGTACGTCACCTGCCAGGCACTAACTGAAGAACACCGATCCACGAATATTTGAATTTACATAATCAGACTACTCACAAAAAGCTTTGCATCATCAGAGTGTGAGGTCATCGAATGAAGTCACATCCTCTAGAGTCACTATATTGCGACTCAATCAGTCTGGGCAGAGAAGAGAGCCAGTCAACTACTCTGCTAGACTGACATATCCCTGGATAAAGTGTCCCTTTGTAACAGGTTGCCCATATATTGTCTTGCAGAAGGTCAACTTGTGTTACATAATGGACCTTAAAATAGCTTGAAGTGCTAGACGTGGGGCTGACCTTGTGGTTTGGTTCTCTGGGGGTAACGATGGCAATGATGATTGTGAGAGATTCTTGTCTCTGGTGACAGGAAAGGATCTGACACCTATACACGCCTCCGGGTTCTCAGGTATCCTCCATCAGGTCTCAGCTATCTGACGACTGATGATCTCAGCGCTACACGGGCAGCAGGAGGTTGCACGATTGGGTGTGTTAGGCATGCTCTGGCTCTAGCAGGCAGCCATGTGTAACAGTGATGTCAGCCTACCTTGCAGCGGTGGAAGTGAGCCGTCTGCTTGCCCAACTTTGGATGCTGCTGGAGAAGAGTTAGGAAGCACCCCGAAAGTTAGGAAAGGAGGATACAGGCTGAGAAGGAGAAATGGAAGGATGATCAGGGCCCAGAAGACAGTAGAGGAAAAGCGAGTATGCGGGAAAGGGCGGAAGCGGAAGGTGACCTGGTACCACAGGCTTCTCGGCTACAGGTTAGTGACAGTTTTGTGGTCTCTTTGCAATCTAGTTTGACCAGGTGTTGCTGCATGTCTTTTAAGCAGCCGAACTCCAAGCAGAACTTCACTCTTTTACTTTTCTTATTGAGATCGAGAGTGGGCGGCGCAGAGAAATGATATCATAACTGTGTACGTGGGTTGACACCTGACTTAAAGCGTGGATGGAGTTTTCATCCCGCACACAACTACAAAACGTAATTGGGAGCGGGGACAGAGATTATGATGCTGACAGCAAGATTTAAGACTTAAATACACCAACGGTGGCGTGTGTTGGACTGTTGCCATGACTACACAGGAGATATGATATTACCGCAGGCTGTTGTGGGAGGGAGATTGAACACGCATCCCCTGCATTCGCACATGTAAACCTTCTGTCCATCCCTTCATGTCTGCTACTTGGATAAACAGGAACTCGCACGGCAAATTAATACTGGCCGATGATACATGTCACAAACATGCACATCATCCTTCTGCAATCTCTCAATGAAGCCAGACCTCTGTCAAAGCTGGTTTTAGTAGAACTAATTCCATTATAGCAGTCTCGCTGATTGCTCTTCCTGTCTGTTTCCCCCGGCGCTGGATGGCGTGTGGCATATCCTTTATCTCAAATCGTGTTCCATTCTGCCTGCACTCAGTTGATTACTTTCTAGTGAAATGTTCTGCTGTCTGCGAAATCACACAGTGTTTACCCAGGACTGATTATACACACTAATGTATGGTGTCCTTAAACAGTGGACATCGTTGATTGATTTGCTTAATGCCATGGAATAATATTAAACAGAAATGCGTTACTCATTTATCTGACTGCAATGGGAAAGAAGACATGGAGGTCTCAACCCTTTCCGCTGTCTCTATATCAGCCTGTGGATTTGACACTAATGATTTAGTATTCAGGAAGTTTTCTAACGAAAGCTTTCTTACTCAGCTCCTCATGTTGCATGTTTCCTTCACAGCATTTTGTCAAGAATGGCCTTTTTCCGATGCATGTGTCATCAAATTTGTTTTACTTAAGTGTCAACTTTGTTTGAAGAGAAGGTCATTGGTGAGATCTATTATGAAACCCTAGAGACGATGTTAGATCATTTTTCTCTTAAATCTTGTTTCATCTCCATTTTAGCACATTGGTGTCTACACTCTAAAAAATGCTGGGTTAAATACAACCCAGCACTGGGTAAAATATGGACAAACCCAGCAATTGGGTTGTTTTCAACCAACAGTTGGGTTCAATGTTTAACCCAACCTTCTGTGCAGTAATCCAACTGCTGGGTCAAAACAACCCAATCGCTGAGTTTGTCCATATTTTACCCAGCGCTGGGTTGTATTTAACCCAGCATTTTTTAGAGTGTAGAAGCAGATTGAGATGTTAAAGAGAACCTGGTTTAGATTTTGCTTGCCTACGCATGTATGACACATTGTTTATGTATTTGTTGTCATGTTCCTGGCCTTCACCACATTTCGTGGCATGTTTCCAACGCACATGTCATCCACCAGTGGCTCTATTTTTAGCTCGGAGGGTAAAGGTGCATGATCCCGTGGCCCCGCCTCGCTTTACAAAAGAGCTAGTAACTGGACTCTCGCTCGTGTTCTTTCTGAACGGGATAATTTTAGACGAGGATTTGAAACTTTCAGCATGGTGTCAGGTGTACGGCCCACCATTTCCTCATCCGTTGTTCTTTTCACCCCCTGCCTCAGTTGCTTGTGTCGTGAGTGTATAAAATTATACACCCAGCGTTGGGTCACTTTCAACCTTCGCTTCAAAAGAGACGACCATATGGCGCTGTGTGTTTACTATGTTAAATACTGAGCTCTTTGGAGGAAGATCAGGTGGCAGCAGTTTTTGAGGAAGGAGCTTGGAGATTCAGCAAGTTCAGTTACACACTTTAATATGCACAACTTGCAAATAACACAGCTGGAGATATGAAACCTGCATGCTACATGTTCACTTTGATATATCAGTAGCAAATGCAGGTGTTAATGTACTTGAGAAATGTTTTGGCTGTAGTGTGCTCTGTGTTTGTACAGACAGTGTGGGTATTTATTTATTTTTTGTTCTTTGTATTGTGTGAATATAAGTTTGTGTAGATCTAACTGTGATACTGGCATGAGATGATGGCTAAATCTATGGAAGAATGACAGACAGAGGAAGTGATCACACTATACAGAATCATGCAAGTCCCTTGCTGTGACACAAGCACACATACACACATTGTGTCTAAGAACATTCTTTGCTTATTTCATACCATATGAGGCAGAAGCTCTATTTGCATGCAGGGAATTATGGGAACTTCCTGGCCAAGCAGACTGGTTAACAGATTGGTCTGGATCATTTTGATACTGGCACAAGGTAGATGGCCGTCTCCTGTTGTGTGTGTTTTTAGTGTGTCCCCGCTTTAGCTCCACGGTGACTAGTCCTTTTATGTGCAGCAGCAAGGAGCTTTAGCCCAGATGTCAAAACCTTCATTTCAGCAAGGTCTCATTATTTTCTCTTGAATGCGTTTACTCTTGGGCTGAAGCTATTTGTGGTCATTCTGTTCCGCAGGAAAGCCATCTCACGGTCGGGCCTCCAGCATTTGGGTCCTGCTCACAGTCCCTTCCCTGCCCTGAGCAATGGACCAGCCAAGGAGCTTCGCAGCACAGTGGACTGGAGCGTAAGTGTTCCTCGTCTGTCTTTCACTCCGATTGTCTGTCCAACTGTGTCTTATCAGCTTTCCCATAGAAAAAGATTACTGTGGCAGTGCTGTGATGGTATATGGTACTTCAATATAGACATGAATCTTTTTGATTTGAACTATTAAGTAACCACCTAGCGACCACCTAAAACACCCTAACGACCACCTAATAGCCATCCAGAACCAGTGTTATTTTAGTATTATTTATATACTATTATAGTATATTTATATAGTATTATTAATATTTTAACTTGACTTGCAGCTTTCATTTTAATTTTAGTTAAAACATTTTGTAGTTTTGTTGTGCTTGTCATTTTTATAAGATTTATTGTTTCTTTTTAAATGTTTCTGTTTAGCTTTAATTTAGTTTTATTTGAGTTTTATTTTGTCATTTTAGCATAGTGTTTTATTTCAGTTAGTTGCTTTACATTTTCTTTCTTACATTTTTCAACATATCTTAATTCAGTTTTAAATGAGCTTTTATTGTTATATTTTAATTTCAGTTTAAGTTTTGTTTTGAGCTTTTGTCATTATTATTTTTTTAAAATGCTTCTATTTAGCTTTAATATATTATTTCTGTATAGTTTTAGTATTTTAGTACTTCGGCGTAAGCTTTATTTAATTCAGTTAGTTGTTTTTCATGTAATATTTATATTTGATGTCACTTTATTTTATTTAGCAACAGTATAGCAATGCAGTAAATAATGGTGATGAGTTAACCACAGGTTGCACTAGTTTACAATGTTTCATCATTTTTTATATAGTGTGAGTTTTGTGTATAATATGAGACATTCCCAGACTAAAGTGCTAATGTTAGTGTTGAGAATAAGGTTGTGCATTATTAGTTTTGCACATATCAGCACATTCAGACTGGTGGGCGCAGTTAGTCGTGGGTGGGTCCCGCAAAGACGGTTGGCATGGCAATAGAGAGACTCGTTAATCCAGGTGCTGTGTGTACAGATGGAGACTGCTGAGGGGGCGGAGCCCAGCGGGACACTTCCTGTGCGTCTTTGCTGGCCTTTCCTTCCCCGCTAGTTCCCGATGTGACCAGCGCAGCCATCAAACATTAATACGCCTTCCTAAAGCTGCTAAGTGTGTGCGCGAGTCAGTGCTAATTGAAGCCTCACACAACAGTGTTGTTGCCATATGAACTAAGAGTTTGTGTGATTTGAATGTGCGTTACATGCTCCTATACATTGGTTATGTCAAGTTTTATAAAGTACAGATCGATTCAAAGCAGCTTCACAGTAATAAAACAAGAAAGTAACAGTATTAATATTGCAACATTTTTGAAGAAGGAAATGAATACCGTTGCATTATTGAAGGATTTTGAAATATGAATAATACTGTTCTTTGTATTCTAAAAAAAGCTGCTTTGAATCGATCTGTAGTGTATAAACCTCGACTTATGTCATTATTCAATTCTGTTGAGTTCAATTTAGTTCAGTAATGAGTACATGTTGAAAAGTTCATGAAGTGAACTCAGATTTTTTTGAAGTTGCAAGTAAAACAAATACTGTTGGAGTAAATTTTACAAGAAAATGTCTCTTTCTACTTTAAAATTTTATGTTTAATTCTGTTTCTTTGTAATGAACTGTGAAATTTACTAGCAATTTCGGAATGAAAATTCAACACATTTTTTTTTCAGACTATAAAGCATTTCTACAGAAAATAGTGTCTTTATTTAACTAAAGTCAATTTAGTGTTGATTCAGTTTAGTTTAATAATGATTTGCTACATGCTAATCAGTTAGCATAAGGGGATTTTTTTTCATTCTAGAGAGAATTTGATCAATACTTTTGATTTTGTTTTCCTGACAGCGTAAAATTTACTTTTAAATGAGCATAGATACTAATTTTGTGAGTGTTTATGAGTAATAGCATATAGACATTAGCTTCAAAGGTAGCAGACATGGACTGTCTCGTTTTTAGATTGTGTTCTCACATTTGTCTGCTGCATATGTCATTGACACTCAGAAAAGTAACCATTAGAGTCCAAAGTAAGAAAGAAATTGCATTCATTTATGCCTCACAAGGAATAACAGTAAGTTTTATAATGGTTGCTTTTCTGAAATGATACGAATGTGACCTCCAGAGAGAACAGCCTTCCAAATGAGACGTAAACATGGATTAAAAGCCACAAAACATTTGATTTGATCTCCTTATGCGCAGGAGAATGCAGTGAACGGTGACCACCTGTGGCTGGAGACGAATTGCTCCGGCGATCTCTGTTACCTGGGCGAAGAGACGTGCGTGGTCAAGATTGCAGTGAGTATAATGTGTTTAAACAGGTTCAAACGGACGAGAGAAGTCTGTATTTGCTTGGCGAGCTGAAGGCAGAGACGAGTGTCATTAGAGTGTTTTAGCAGTGATATTTTCTTTCATGAGATAATGTGAGGCTGGTGTGTATTGAAAGGAAGAGGCAGCTATTAGTCTGAGAATGTACAGCAGGTAAAAGGATTTTGTTAGGCTTTTGTGAAAGCGCGGCGCCATGCTCTGATGTTTTCAAGAGCCGTGGCAACTCTATTATTGCCACTTCAAGGAGTTGGCAAAATCATTCCTTGCCTCAGAGGAAGCTTTTTACTGCTGAAGATGAGAGCATATTTCTCTTACAATTGAATTATAAGATGGATCGTAGATGTGTGCTCTTGCTCTATGACAAATTTCTGTGTGTTTGTGCTGTTCGGTTCTCTTTAAGAAGTCGGCTCCCCGGAGGAAGTGTGCAGCCTGTAAGATCGTGGTCCACACGGCGTGTATCGAGGAGCTGGACAAGGTGAGCGGAGGCAGAAATATCTGTTTAATTCTCATGCACGTCATCAATATGCCCTCAACAGATGAACGCTGACGTTTGTCTCTTCAAATAGACATCAGGAGGATGATGAAATAGGATGAGATGGTATAATCTAGGTATTGCGGTTATGGTTTTTAGGATCAGGAGTTGTGGGTTCCTGCTGTTGCGGTATTCAAATATAGTTATCAGTGCAATTGGGTGAATAGATGTGAAAGAATATCAAGGTAACGGTATATATCACAATATATAGTGTCTTGCTGGACATTTTATGAATGTTTTACTATGTTGTAATGTCTGTTTTTTTGATAGTTTATGTATATTAGGTAATTAGAGATTATGTTTTTAATTAAAAATAAATGAAAATATAATCATATATATATAGATAGATAGATATTCACATTGCATATATTTCTATATTATTATATCACATTTGATATTAATTTTAATGTATGTAACATGAATACACACTATTAATATAATATAATGTTATATAATATAAAAGTTTGTTCTATTTCTCAGTGCAGTTGCATGAAAGAATATCAAGTTAACTGTATATCACAGTATATATTGTCATGCTGAAATTTTACTAACTATTGTAATGTCTGTTTTTGATAATTTTTTTAAATTAAATTCAATGTAAAAAATTATTTTAATTATTTAATAGTTCAGAGATGACTAGTTTTATTATTTGTATTTAAAACAAAAAATAATATAGTATAAATATTTCACATTGTAATATTGTACTATAATACAATATATTGTAATAGATCTATTTATTTGTTTATCAGTGAAATTGCATGAAAAGACAACATGAAATATCAAGCTAACAGTATATATTACAATGTATATTTTCTTGCTGGAAATGTAATTAAAAATGCTTTATATTTTAATAATAATGTAGTTATGTCTGTTTTTGGATAGTTTAATAAACTCAATATATTAGAAATTATTTTGAATTATTTAATAGTTTAGAATTTTTTTTTCTTTTTAGTTTTTAAATTTTTTAAACAATCAACAGTAGTAATAATAATATAGTATGGATGTGCATTTCACATTTAAATTGTATTATATTAATAATATAATATAATATAATTGTTGCGGGGCTGACAAGACGTGAGAAGTGCGGATCCATATGCAGGCTTTTTATTTGGAGAAGACAGAGACGTGGTCATAAAACAAGCAGGGTCAAACAGTGGCAAACAGGTATATGGCGAGCAAAACACAAGGATAGTCCTAGGGCTAGCGTAGGTCGATGAACGGCAAACAGAATCAGAAGGGGCAGCCTCCCTGGCAGACACAAAGCACACAAAGAATTCACAAACGTCTGTAATGGGGCTGACAAGACATGAGACGTGCGGATCCATA